TATAATGTGAACTAGCTTACAGCTTTGAATGGGATTCCAATGAAGGAAACTCCAGGACATATATTTGCCGTAGTTAAATGAAATATGGTTTGGCAAAAACCATCTGTACACAATCCTGCAAAGGTAAAAGTTAATGTCTACTTTAGAGCTCATCTGATCCCACTGCCACTCAGAGTGAAATTATATAGCTCTTACTCCCAAACCCCCATCCCCCATACAACCATATTTAGGTCAGTTTTCCATTCTATGCTCACAGTAAATAGGGGCACTATTGAAGTTAGAACTGAAGGGATTTTAAGAGAAACTATCAAATGGTTCACAATGGGTGATGTTCTTAGAATGGACATATGTATGAAGTCAAATGCAGCCATAAGCTATATATACAATGGAGATGGTAACAGTTGTGTCATGGGAAAGTAGAACAAAAAATTTCTTTCTTGCTACAACTACCAACGATAGGCTACAAATGTATCCTGAAATTATCTTATACGCTAAAACCTCCCTTTATGTATTGATTTCGTGGTACCTGAGTATTTAAGTCCAGAGTCCGAGAGCTTGAAAGTCACTGAACCCACTGCAAAATGAAGGGGAAAACACAAATTAATTGAGTATCAAATGAAAGAGAGAAGAAAGGAAATTAAAACATGAGAAAGCAGACCAAGCATTGGCTTAAATTATCTTTTGTTGATTTGAATTTCAAACAATATACATGAAGTACCTGGACGCTGGTCACCATGATATTGGGGCCCAAGTTCACCTGACAAGATAATTGTGAGATTCAGTGGTTTAACTAAGGGAGTAAGGTTGCTGCTGATTGGATGTAAGACTGGTGGTCAGTTTGAGTTCAAATCCAGTATCTGGAAACTATAAAGTCGTGTACAAATGTTTTTTCATGATCTTGCTGATTTTAATTCAATTGTCCCTAAATGGAATATGAAAGCCAGAACCTTACAATCGTATCCAATATCAACATAGAAGGTTATGAGAAGTTACATAATTATGAACTTAATCAAAGGTTAAGAGAATGGTACCTTTCTCCAGCTGACTCTGTGTGGAAGTTGAAGGAGCTTGTACACCTGGACATGAGACAGATGACTAATATTATTAATTCAATTTGAAACTAGGTATGCAGCATTCAGCAATTACTGACTCAGCAGACATGGCTACAAACATCTCATCCAATCAGTGCAAGTGCTTTATTTACCCTACTGAGTACAATTGGATAAATGTGTCTAATCCTTTTACAAACACTGTAATATTGAAGTTTGGTCAATAACTGGCTCTTTGTTATCTTGACTTACAGCTATGGCTGAAATTTTTGCCAGATGTGAATCAGGATTATGGAAATAAGGACATCAAGCATTCAAGTGCCATCAAGAAGATACATTTCTCATTCCTTTTACTATGGCAATCACTTGTGATTCAGTATTTACCTTGATTTGTGGTGGTGATTTCCCTTTGTCCCAAGTCAGGTGGAGAGTTACCTGTTTGGCTCCCCCCTGCGACAGTGGCAGACAGGAACACCCTAGTGCTGGCCTGTTTATATTGTTTGCGGATTAAATCTGCAGACAAATTGCTGCCAACTTTATACAGTTGATGATTTCCACTTGGCTTTGCTTTGTAATAATCAAGGTATCTACGGATAAAAAGCACAGGTACCAAGATGACTTATTAACAATATGTAAAAGAAATCAAACCAGGGAACTTACAATCAAACCCTGAAGACCGTAGAGACCCAACTAGTTAAGTTTTTAAATAGTATTTATCACGCATTTTAAACATTAATAGAAGCTATTTGTAGATTTTATTTTATTAATTGTAGTATTTTAAGTTTTCTAAGTAAATGTATTGATGCCTTATCTAGTTAATATTATTAGATTAATAGGGCATTGTTTTTGTAGTTATTGTATTATTGGATTTTCTGATTAAAAATTGTACTATTCTCAAAAAAAGCCTAGTATGCAACGAGAGAGAGTTTGATGCGTAATCATGCATAGAAGGAGGCTGTCTAATTAGTTGGTTGGGGTTGACAATTGGAGCTGGTGTTCTAAGGGATCAAATATCACTTAAACCTCAAGTTTTTGAAAAACTGTTACAAGGGCTTATATTTAGCACTGAATGGAAGATCGAATTAATTAAAAAAAGAACCACAGAAGACGAAATTTTGTTTTCCATTGATCATCAAAATCCGCGGTCTAAATTGGACTGCACTTGAATGACCCTTCGGGTCAGCTATTTACACGTTATTTTGCCCGCTTGACACTGCCAGTCACAAAAATTAAGCCTACTTCACATTGATCTCTCGACTTAAGAAATCTCGATTTAATCCTCAACTTTGTGCGGTTGTGAATAAAAGGGATAGGATTCTAAAGAAATTTTGGTGCTGCGTCGCTAGGAGAGTATAAAAGGGTAATTTAGTATCATCAACTGAGATGCAACTCAGTTGATAATACTGAATTACAATTTTGTGTGGTTATGTTAGGATGATTGTCCGGAAATTGTTGAATTTTTTGCCGGCGTGTTTGATTAGTGACTGTTTTGTTCGTAGTGTTTTAAGTTAGCCATCAGGTTATCTTAAAATAGGGGTTTTAAGTCTTGTCAAATGAAGTTATCGTAGAATAAGGGTTTTAAGTTTTGTCAAATGAAATAAATGAGTTTAAAATAGACTTTATCTTACTAGCGCAACCCTCTCATCGATTTGCGGTGGAATCCCTGTGGAATTCACAACATAAAAACGCGCGATTAGCGCTGCTCCAGGAACATTAGTCCAGAACAACCAGCTGATTCAGTGAATAAAAAATATTTTGCGTAGAAAAGTGGCTGAAACTAGAATTCAGTCACCATTTTCACGCTCGCCATTTTAAGTTCTAAGCTAGTGCGGTGCTGAAAGAATGTAGACCATATTTGTGGAAAACTGTCTTACTCACCTGGTCGCCGTGATTTCGGGAATTTCCCGTTTTAGGTGCGCCACCATAGCGTCTCCGCAAAGCCTCTGGTCGAACTTGACCTTTTTGCCATCTGGGGCAAGAGTTGGGTTTTGAGTTACTTGAGCAATGTCGTCCACCCAAACGAATGTTCGGTAGGGCTTCGCGCCCGGTAGCCCGCCTGCAATTTGTGAGTCCTGTGAACCAACTTGTGCATTGGGGTCAAAAATAGGCCCGATGGCTCCTACGCTGTGATCACCAGACATTTCAAGATTTGTTTGTACAGATGAAACAAGCTGTTGTAGGGAGCGAAAAGAACTTCCCTCGTTCATCTGAAAAGTAGTGCCACTTAGAGAAACACCCCTATGCTGGTATCAAATGTAACGTCAACGTCATATCCGAAATGATGATTACTGGAGGTGTGACATTTCTAATTTTTCTTTCTTCATAATTAAATGAATTTAGGATCCAAGGCTTTGCACGAGCTGGTTAACATTCTTGAGATTTTATAAAATTACACGTCAGTCATTTCCTATTCGATGAATGGATTTTATGAATATAATTTGCTTCCGTACGCCAAGTCAGAGTTACGAGTTTGTAACTCTAGGAAATCGTTGTCACTTGCAATTAATTTCTAACAAAGAGGTGAGGCACAACAGAGAAAGACCTTTTGTTTTAATTTAATTTCACTGCGGGACGTGTGCTATGAATCTTTCACAAGGTTCCTGTTTGCTGTTAAAATTATAGAAAGCTCGAAGTACAATTGGCGATAAATTGTCGAAAAATTCAAGGGAACTATAACTGCCAGTCTCGTGGAAGGAAAACCTCTCTTTCAACGCTACGATGCATGTAAACAAGTTTTCCTGGTATAGATTTCTTTCCTGGTGTCTTGTAATTTGCATCCTTCAACCCGCATCAGGTAGGTATCAGGCTTCTTTCCAAGAACACTTACTCAAACGCCATTGTGGTCATTATGTGAAAAGTATTCGTATTCCACTGCTTCTTCTGCGATCTACAGGGGCGCAAATTATTTTGATCGAGAAAACAAAGGACAAAATGTATTGAGCGGCCCGCCAACTTCATGCAACCCAAGCTTCTTTTTGAAGGGAGAAAAAGAGGCGCAAGGTCATCTTCATTAATCGTAGACGAGCAGATGCGCACAAGCTTAAAACCGGGTTGGCTGCCTATGAATTAGCCGCAGTTGTTAGCTTCGGGCGAATGAAGATGCTAGTGTTAACCTTAAGCCGGAAAATCAGGTTCTTCGTTATCGCTGATGATTTATCAGTGCTTTCTTATTCGCAAGTCCTTTCAAAATGAAATTACGTGTCAGTTTTTCCAAAAAAGGCTATCACTGGACTGTAGATGCGATTTAAACTGATAAAGCAGTGTTCCTTATTAAGTACTGCTCTTTCAGCTATGTCAATGATCGTTTGCTGCGCAAATTTCGTGTTTTAGAATAAGAATATATCTCGTTCCCCCTTCTAGGTCCCGGACTACCAAAACGGTCAAGAAGATCTCAAAAGGGTGTTGGATTTTTTGGCTAACGGTTAAAATTTTTTCCCATATACGGCTAATGGTTAATCTCTCTCCATTGCTGTCCCAGGATTTTTTTTTTTTGTGTACGGTCAACTTTTTTTTATACGATTAACGGTTAAAATTCGTCAATTTTTACGCCTAAAGGCAAAATTTTGTGGCCGTTTTACGGCTAACGGTTACCCCATTGAGACCCTCGGTCAATGTTGTCTTATTTAATGACATACTTCTTCTACAGTTGTTAGTCTCAATCCGGACGCGATAGAACACTTTGTGCTGGACGTTCAAGCGCTTTATTTTACAGCCCGATCTGCCATTGAGGACAGTACTTCAACTCCAGAAAGACTAACCGGCCTTTGGACTAAGTTGGAAGCCGCTGTAATGAATTTAAGAAAAATCCAATGGCATCTTATAACCACGAAACCCTGTGCTGAGGACATTTTGGCCCCATTAGTTCAAAGTCTGTCGACCATAGAAATAAGGATTGGTAAAGTTATCGAGCAGTACAGCTGCCTTGTTCCTTTTCTAAGGGAGCAGTTGTGTTACCGGGCACCTGTGACCTCAACGGAATGGGTTGGTAGACCATCCTACGTAATTACGAAGGAGCAGTTGGAAGTGATGCGCTCCTATGGTTTGTCATGGGTAGAAATAGCGAAAGCACTAGGTGAGCCGAAAATAATTTCATAATAAAGAAAATGCTCACGCGGAGTCATTCGTATTTTTTCTTTTTTTTTTTTTGTCATGCCCCTTTTTTCGAGAATGGATGTGTTCTCTTTTATTTTAATTCATATTTTAAAAAGTTTTTGAACATCGATATGGCTGCTTTATATTGGCCACAGGTTGATCTATGTTTCATATTCGCCGTTATCGTGCTATAAAGGGTGTCTCATACGATTTTACCTGTAATACTTTTCGCAGGGGTCTCGATTTCAACAATATGGAGACGTCGCATCTATCATGAAATGGAAAGAAGAAAGCATTATGGAAGAAGGAAGCTAGGTATGCAAGAGCTGATAGATATAGTGGCTGAAATAAAGTCCAGAAGTGTGAATGCGGGCATCATTATGATCGAGGGTGAATTAGCGGCTCGATCCCTCTACGCTAGAAGATCTGCCATCGCAGAGGCATTAGTTCGCCATGATCCTATAGGTGCAGGCCTGCGGTGGAGAAATTTGACCCCAAGAGTTACTTATAGCGTTCCAGGTAATTTTACGTTCTGAGTTATAAAACTTTGAACCGCAAATCATAGATTTGAATAGATGTGATCAAGTGTGCTGCTTATTTCCATATTGCACCGCATGAAGTATGTGTCGCTAAGAGAATTGTGAAGGTTTTGATGTCCATTTTTTACACGTCGACCTTAACAGAAAAGGAGCTCATGTACGTCCAACATTACCATATCTTGAGTATGACTTTGGATATTCGTTCTCGAATAGAGCCAATTACTTTCATCATAAAATAACAAATGATCAAACCCAGGATCGTTGACTTATTAGTGTTTGAAATATATATTGTAGGCCCAAACAGCCTGTGGCACTTGGATGGCAATCACAAGCTGATACGGTAAGTAACAGACCTAAAACATACCATAAATATATTGTTTTTAGATTGCCTGCACTGTTCTACAATAATGCTTGAGGAAAATTAAAAATGATCAGAGCGGAAGACATTTACGTTCCTCATCAACAGCATTTTTTAACATGCTGTAATTCGTCTGTATTCGGGAATTAATACCTGTTACTTCCTTTAATGTATCTATGGAATTCAGTAGAGGAAAAATGCACCATATTCTACTCTTCCCCACTCATAATGTGAGTACCGTGTGAAAGGTGTTTTAAAACTCTTTTCTCAGATGGAGGTTGGTCGTGCACGGAGGAATAGACGGATATTCGAGGCTTGTTGTATTCCTCCGCTGTTCCAGCAATAATAGGGCAGCAACAGTGGCCAATTTATTCTTAGGCGCCACAACTGAATTCTGTTGGCCATCACGGGTGAGGACAGATAAGGGTGGAGAGAATGCGGAAGTTGCGCGCCTTATGGTTGAAAAACGAGGAGAAGGTCGCGGCAGCATTTTGCAAGGTAGTTCGGTCCATAACCAGAGGATAGAGAGGCTGTGGAGAGACATGCGCAAAATGGTCACGGAGTATTTCCGACTCCTCTTCTATTTCTTGGAGAGGAACAATCTTCTGAATCCGAACGACGAACTGGATCTGGCAGCTCTACATTATGTATTTATTCCACGGATTAATGAAAATCTAGAAAAGTTTAAGGTGTCCTGGAACAATCATAAGCTATCTACTGAAAAACAAAAGACTCCAAATCAGTTGTACATTCTAGGAATGCTTAATTTGTTTGGATCAGAATATACAGCGGTAAAGGACTTCTTCGAAAGCAACGTCATAGACTCCAACTATTACGGCGTAGAGGAACCGGATATCATTGATGCAGCGTCAGAGGTGGAGGAGGCTGTCGTGGTGCCTGAAACAATGCAAAACCTTTCTAACGCGAGCTTGCAGGAGTTGCAGCTACAAGTGAATCCGTTGGAGCGGGACACCAACCACGGCATCTCGCTTTACATTCGAGCAAAAGAATTCCTCTCGCAGCAAAATTAGCAATCGGTGAGCACGAGTTTTTTTCGCTGATGAAGCACGCAAAAAGTCTTCAAACCGGTTGTGCAGACCAAGCAATGTGGTCTACGATGTTGTTTTCGATGATGTCCTTTACCGCAGTTTATTTCGGTATTTCAACACATTAGGGCAGAGTGTGCAATGGTTTTACACGAGAACAAGGCGAAAATACGGACTGAAGGCGGAACAACCAAACTTTGTTTGTGTGTGCGTTTTATTTATTTATTTTTTATTTTAGGCTCTACTTTTTAAGCAACGAACTTTTAAGCGCATTATTTTTTTCCTTTTCATGATTTGTTTTGTCTTTCGCGTACGCCTTATGCGATCGATTTCATGTTATGATAATGCCGTGCGATATATTTTGAAACCCAGACGCCAAAATATAAGAAAACGTAATAACACTTGAATAATATATCTTTAATTCGTTTTTTGACAGATAGGAAAAGTGCCCCCACGGGACTCAACAGTCTTTCTTTGTAGCAGGCCACACGAACTGAGAAGTAGATTCTTAGTGTCCTTGGGGTATTCTACTGACAGAGGGTCGGTTTGAATGAATTGGCCTTTACTGAAGCCGAACTGAAGTTTAACTTAATCTTAAGTGGCTTTGTTTCACGTTCATTTAAAAAAAAAAATGTCCTTTACCGCAGTTTATTTCGGTATTTCAACACATTAGGGCAGAGTGTGCAATGGTTTTACTCGAGAACAAGGCGGAAATACGGACTGAAGGCGGAACAACCAAACTTTGTTTGTGTGTGCGTTTTATTTATTTATTTTTTATTTTAGGCTCTACTTTTTAAGCAACGAACTTTTAAGCGCATTATTTTTTTCCTTTTCATGATTTGTTTTGTCTTTCGCGTACGCCTTATGCGATCGATTTCATGTTATGATAATGCCGTGCGATATATTTTGAAACCCAGACGCCAAAATATAAGAAAACGTAATAACACTTGAATAATATATCTTTAATTCGATTTTTGACAGATAGGAAAAGTGCCCCCACGGGACTCAACAGTCTTTCTTTGTAGCAGGCCACACGAACTGAGAAGTAGATTCTTAGTGTCCTTGGGGTATTCTACTGACAGAGGGTCGGTTTGAATGAATTGGCCTTTACTAAAGCCGAACTGAAGTTTAACTTAATCTTAAATGGCTTTGTTTCACGTTCATTTTAAAAAAAAAAATGTCCTTTACCGCAGTTTATTTCGGTATTTCAACACATTAGGGCAGAGTGTGCAATGGTTTTACACGAGAACAAGGCGGAAATACGGACTGAAGGCGGAGCAACCAAACTTTGTTTGTGTGTGCGTTTTATTTATTTATTTTTTATTTTAGGCTCTACTTTTTAAGCAACGAACTTTTAAGCGCATTATTTTTTTCCTTTTCATGATTTGTTTTGTCTTTCGCGTACGCCTTATGCGATCGATTTCATGTTATGATAATGCCGTGCGATATATTTTGAAACCCAGACGCCAAAATATAAGAAAACGTAATAACACTTGAATAATATATCTTTAATTCGTTTTTTGACAGATAGGAAAAGTGCCCCCACGGGACTCAACAGTCTTTCTTTGTAGCAGGCCACACGAACTGAGAAGTAGATTCTTAGTGTCCTTGGGGTATTCTACTGACAGAGGGTCGGTTTGAATGAATTGGCCTTTACTGAAGCCGAACTGAAGTTTAACTTAATCTTAAGTGGCTTTGTTTCACGTTCATTAAAAAAAAAATTATGTCATTGTCTCGTAAGATCTCTGAATTTATATTTTTAGTTTCCCTTTGTAGTAGGCGAGTTCACCTGTCCCTTTGACTTCTTGTGTCCCTAGAGAATTATAATGATCGCACTTTGAGTTTGAATTGTCCTTTATTGAAGCCGAGCTTGATTTTAACATTCCCTGGATTGCTGCTATTGTTTGTCATGCATTCTAAATAGCGTCTGGTTACTGAGTGGCAAGTTGTTGGCATTGATGTGTTCTGACGTGCTTAAGAAAACTCAAGAAACCCTGATATAAGAAATGGATAACATTACACCGATAACTAACTATCCAAAGGACTACGAATGTCAAGTATGGTAAGGATAGTTTATCTTTCTTTTTTTTCTCAAAAATATGGAAAATTTAATTTCCGAAAAACTCAAATCCAACCATACGTTGTGTCTTTCATCTCCTATTGCTCAAACTACTGAACAGTATGCGACAATGCCACCAAAGAAAGCGTTCTTTTTGTGCAGTAGTAGCTTTCGGTAGAAAGAGTCCGATTGATTGTGAGTCAAATTGTAACAAATTCAGTAGGTCTCACCGATTTACGCTTATTTCTCTACATGCCGTGTTAACTATTTTTAAGTTCGCTCCATGTTCCACATGCCTAGGATTAGACTTTTACTGGTTTAACCCCATTTTACAACACGCCCGACCTACAACGTCAGTTCATTAAAAAAACGTGAGAGTATTTCCCACTATAGCAGCTTACAGACCACGCTGATTGTTTCGCGTTTACATGCTGGCGTTGGCTAGCGCGAGGCAAGCTTACGGGTGAACTCATGCATGCATATATCAGGTTTCTCAGAGCGTCATAAAATTATCTTTAGTACAGCAACCAACCAACCGATAGCATAGAAACAGTGAAAAAAAATTTAGTCTTTTGATTGGACTCTTGAGCGCGGGAAAAAAAACCATAAAAATTTAAATGTATGGAATTTAGAACGCCATCAGTTCAAGCCACTCCCCTAAACCTCGTACGGGCAAAGGTAGATTTTTGAGGAATCTTTCGATTGAGTTTCAAAAGTAATCTGGGATCTGGGATTGTTTTGGGTCCGAATTCCCTTCGCGATTTTCATAAATGACACGCACACCATCGTCTCAGCCAACCCTATTCAAAACTAAACCTATTCACGAGTCGGTCGCATTTTCCCGCGTTTCCGGTAGTTTTATTTTTTTCTTTGCGTCGTCTGATTAACTCTCGTGAATTCCTTTGATTCTCTTTTGCGAAAACTCAGAGCAGTCGAAATCCATGTTCTCTTTGTGCTTTAGTGATACCCTGATGCTGGAGCCAATTATTTTGCCGGACTGCGGCCACACGTTCTGCAAAACTTGTATTAGTAGGGTGCAACAAAACCCAACTACCAGCCATTGCCCCCTTTGTAAAAAGCCTATATGGAGCTCCACACAACTGAAGACAAACTTCACCCTCAAAAAGCTTGTAGAGAAGATCGAGGTAAAATGTACAGCGTGCAACGAGAGGGGGAGCATCGAAGTGGTAGCACGGCACACCTGCCCCGATGCCCTCATATCCTGTTCTAATAGGGGCTGCCAACGCAGAATTAAAAGAAAGGATGAGCCGACCCATAAGGAGGAATGCCTCTACGCAGTCATCTCGTGTGAACAATGCCACCAGAATACCACCGTGGCCAACAAGGAACTTCATCTTGAAAAGACTTGCATATAAGGGGAGAAATCCGTTGCCCTCTAAAATGCAGGAAGCGTCCGAGAAGGTGTGGTCACAAAGCGTTGTACATTATCATTTCAAACTTAAAATGAAATTCTCTTTACGTGCGTAAAAGAAAGCATCTGGTGTGGGTATGCAGTTTCTTATATTAGGTCTTTTATATTTGATTTTTAAGCCCATGTAGACGTTACTAGCATGTACGACTTTGAAAATTGTCACTGAGTTCAAGGTTTTCTTTATCTTTCCCAAGTGTACTCAAAGCTTACTGTATATAATTTTTATAGAAATATCATCTTTATATATATAAATCTCGCGAACTTTGGAAAGCTTCCCTTCAATTTGCTCCTCCGTCCAAGATTAAAATTGATCCAAAATTAGCCCCAAAAGTTTACTTTGCGACTCAAACGCAGTGTTATTGGGAAAATATCCATGACTTGGCTTGTCTTATTATAATCCTTGTCACTTTCAAGAATCAACAGCAAATAATGAAATAAACAAATATAAAATATGAGTTGAGCTGAACAGATGCGAGTTCTTTTCCTCGTTAGTAGATACATTCATGTAGCTTTAACCTTTTGTTTACTCTTAGGATGGAGTTGCAAACCCATCTGCTTGTCTGCGTGGAGAGGCAGCGACAATGTAGAGTCAATGGATGCCATTTTGCTGGGAATTTTAAGGAGATGGAGCAACATAACAAGGACCAAGCAGAAAAGCACGTGTCACTGCTGACAGAGATGGGTGAAAAGCTCTTAGACGTATTACTTAAAAAAGGTAAGGCTGACTGAGGCCAATGCTCCTTAATGTTTTCCCCTTCCGATCTTTAATTGTTACTTAATAGCTAGTGTGCACGTCGCTGCGTGTCCACAGATTTTTAACAGTTCTACAAAACTTTGAACAGATTTCTGCTTTAAAAATCATCAGTCGAGACTGAAAAAGTTGACTGAGTAGATGGTCCTCTTGTTTCCTTTAGAATACGATCTCACAAGGATGATATAAAATATACTATTTGAGGCAGATTTGGGGATGAAGTGCGGGGAGGGGAGTGGTCGAACATTTTTTAACGCTGTTCAGCTTACAATAATCCCCAGTGAATTTTCCTTTCACTTTACTCATTATGACGCTGATTTGATTTCCAACACAACAGGACACGAATGACTTGACCAAGACAAAAATGGCACTCGGAGGTTTCTGTTGGTCCATCTTTAACTTCAAACAAATGGCAGCAGATATGCTACAAGCCGGAAACACTGCAGAACCGATGGCCAGCGGAGTTTACGAATTTGAAGAGTGTAGTTGGAGGATGCTGCTGTACGTACGTCGCACAAAGTGCAAGTTATTCTTGCAGTTGCACCGAGCCGTTCATCCTGTACGAGCTTCATTCAGGTAAATCATATCACCCCCTTGATTACGGATTGGTTACTCTTGCTAAACCCTATACCTATAAGGTTAACCTGTACAAACTATCAACCTTCTACAAAATGAATCGGCTGAATCAAAATAACGCATGCTTAGTAACTCTAATCGGTCATATCTGAGTAGATAGCTCCAAA